CCTTTCCACATGTCACTTCCTTGCTCTATTTTAAGGAGCCTCTTTAGATATACAGGGATTGTTTGAGTGTTTTACAGTTGCTTAGTGGCTAATCATCTTCCCATACCTCGAAAGGAAAATCTTTCTCCTCAGATCTTCTAGTGATCCAATGGCCCCAGCTATTATCTCAGCTCTCAGAGTACTTGGGTATATTGCCCAAGACCATGTGCTCCTGGACTTTTCTGTCCTTCTGGGTCCTTAATTCATAAAGTCTTCGTAAATTGTAAGGGTTGTTATACTAAGTTAGCAATGTGATTGGAAGACAGCACGTAGGGTTCTTAGGCTGAAATTTGTCTGCCAAATTCTCACAAATAATCTCTTTTCCAGCTTTTTCCAGCCACTCTGGCTTTTTTCCTGACTGATTCATATTTACCTACAATAGTGTCTTAGTATCAGACATATTCAATCCCCGATTAGAATGGAATGAGGCCTCATGGAAATGTGCACAGACAGCTATTGGCAGGGCAGGGTGGGGGAAGTGGCACCTTCATAAGATCTTCTATCCAGTCTCCTGGTCAAGTTTTGAGTCCAGCCTCTTACCATTGCCCTGGCTCAATTTTCCCTTGAGGAACACCCTCTTTTGGGCTATTTCACTATATTGTCTAGGGGGCAGTGATGAGATTCTGGATTAAAACATGGTAGTAGGAATGGAAGAGAAATGTTGATGACTAGAACTATCAGAAGCAGAATATATAAACTTAGGTAATATTTAGTAAATGAGGCAGTGATAAAGGAAGAGACACTTCCATCTACCAGCTGAATGGAACACTTTGATATAGTAGTTTGGACCTTGATTGTTTATGAATTTCTTTTTTCCCCAGAGGTCATGTCCTTCCATAGAAGTAGTCCTACATGTTTTCTAATGTTTACACAATCCAAGAAAGTTTAATAAGCCATAATCTTTCTCTGTTCTATTTACTTTAAATTTTGCATTTAAAACTTTTTAGCTTAAAGTACAATTATAAACCATAAGATTCACTTGTTTTAAATATGCAGTGAAATTATTTTTAGTAAGTTTACAAACATTACTACAACTCAGTTTTAGACTATTTGGATGACTCCAAGGAAATGTACATGTACATTTTTCAGTGATTAAAAAATAAATATGTAGTAACTTGGTTGGTAGATTGGAAGTGGAATTTGAATTTAAGGTCTTATTTGCAGGCTCCATAAAAATTTTCCTTAGGGGGATTAAAAGGAGAATGCTTTACTGATGACAAAAACTTCAAGCAGAAATTAAAATTCCCAGTAGATAAAGTGGACTTCTTAAGGCACTGATGCAACATTGGTCCCTGAGCCCATGTCCACCTATAAATACCCCATCTGGAGATGTATACAATTTCTTGGGATAAGATAATAACTACTCGGACCAGCTCACATTGCCTTCAGTTCTCAAATGGCAGTTCTGTGCAAATTAGCCTCTAAGCCTCCTGGAACTACTTAGACTCTTGATGTAGTTGTAATGTACCTACTACAGGGCTACCTTGCCCTTATTCCTATTACTGCTAGGTTGTATGTAGCACTTCTGAAATTGCCTTCAAAACTCAGGGGCCTGGTTTTCTGGGTAGTGTTTCATTTCATTGTTTTTCCTGAGGTTTGCCCTGGACCTCAGTGGTTAATTGTCAGAAAATTTCACCAGTATAAAACACTGCTGACTATTTGAATGTGATCGATGCAAAGGGAACTACATAGACTGACCTATTTAGCACTGCCCTTTCCCCCAGAAGTCTCTAGGAAGGGGACAAGGTAAAGATAATTGAGTGGTCTTTCAATGGTTAGCTAAGAAAACATATTTCTTAAAGGAGTTGCTTTGATTACAGAAGGTTTTGGCTCAGGTCTGCAGGTATATGGAGACTGTTCCAGTTTTACTCATGCTGTTCAGCTTCCTAGTTGTGTGTGTTTCTCCCTCAGAAATTATTTTGCCCTGAAAATCAGTGCAGTTCACGGATCACTTCACCCCTGCCAACACAGCTGGGAGCCATTAATGGCTCAGTACCTCTCCCTCCCACATACACACTCCCAAGCCACCCAAATGTGGATATGTGAGCTGTGACCTCTCCACCAGCCTCACTCTACTACTCCAGCGCAGCTCAGGCTGAAATGTCCCATCTGCACTCTATGTCTGAGCTCTGAGTTACAGAAAAATTTCTCCAACCTTCCCTCCTTAACCCCAACAGGAAAATATCCAGTGTATTCAAAACTAGAGGAAAAGTCACTTAAATGCCCTTTTTAGTATTTTCAAATTATCACCAAAATGTCCATGAACTGTTAGATTTGCACTATTTCATTACCCTTATAATTTCTAACACCTTGGTTGCTTTCCAGTCTTTTAATGCCTCACTTTCTTAAAGAGGTAGAAGATATGGCTTAATAAAGATTTGTCTCCTATGTTTTACAGCATGTTGCATACATATAGTGCAAGCTTGATTCATATTGGGTGGATTAAATTAAGGAGATCAATGCTCATTAGTGATATTTAGCTAGGAACATCTTCCAAATAGTGGAGTGCTAAGCAAAGGGACATACAACACTGAGATGGAATACTGAAAGAGGCGATAGCACCTTTGTCCCTGGGAAGCTACATAATATTACCTTTTATGTGGGGGCCTTTGATAAGCCAACATGCAAAGGGATGAACTGGCTAACGTCTTGAGATTCTGACTCTAACAGTTATGAAGAATGAACAATTTTTATCCCTAGATGTCCTACTAACTAGGTAATCAGAGTGGCAAGCTGTTGCTTGCTCTTCTCTGAGCCTGTTTTCTTCTGTATATAAATAAAGAGGTTGACTAGATAGTCTCTAAATTTCTTCTGGTGTTGACATTCCACTACTCTTATCATGTTTTAAAATTAATTGTTATGTAGATATGATGTACAAAGGATGGTAAGGCAAAACTAGGAAATAAGGGCTTTTTGGCCCAAATTTATATTCTACCATGATTGCACACACACACACACACACACACACACACACACACACAATACATAAACACATCTAATTCAGGTTTTAGGAGAATAATCATTCAGTCTTTCAACTTGAGCTCTGTTTGTGTTTTTTTCACTTATGAGACCTTTATGTATTAAGTAGAAGTTGACATGTCAAAAGTATTGGCGGAGCCCAGAACCCTGGTATGAAATGAGCCTTGCAGAAATTCAAGACACCGTAAAGTAAATCCTACCAATGGTAACTACACAAAACTAGAAAATAATTTATGTTGCTAATCTAAAAGCACAATTTTTACATATTAATGTTCACTTTTTATTTTCATGGTAAGAAACTATGGTATATATCATGTAGATTGAAGAAATCACTGTATAACTTTACATCTTGCTTCAAAAAATATCAACTTCTGACCTAGGGTGGAAAAACTATGCTTAATTTCATTTTAGAAAAAGAAAAGACACAAAGAGGAGACAAAGAACATCAAGATCTAACTGAGCCAACATAACTGCTCTATGCTCAGTAAGTTAAAGAAAAAAAAGCCAGGCAGGTAACAATCCATTAAAAAAAAAACCTTGAAAGATAGTAATGATGAGACACCAGACATTCATCTTAAACAAAAATAGACCAGAAAACTCAAAGCTGACAACACATCTAGCCATCTCCATTTGGCCAAGTTTTGTCTAATTAATCTTCAGTTTGAATTTGTCCCTGCCCAGAATGTCTTTTTCTTTCCAGAATTATTTTGGCTTTTAAAGAATAAAAGGAATGTATCATTCTGTAGACCAGACCATTCATCAAGGAGGATTATGTCCATTAAAACAGAGTTGAGGACCAGAAAAATATAGCTGTCTCTATTTAATAATTTTTAAAAGGCTATATGTCTAGATTTTCTTTCCATTTAAGACTAGGGTTTATTTCTGCTGGGTTAGCAGAATGTCAAGGTATTGGCCAAGAGTCTCCTCCACAAAACTTTCCCCATTCATCAAGATTTTATTTGTATTTCCTGCCTTTGAACTCTGCAAGTGCTCATACTCTGAATCACACAATTATATTTTCAGTTATATGGTGTCATGCATGCTGTTATGCCTTTCTCCACACCCATCTACCTGTTATCTCTTGACCTAACTAGTCAACTCGAGCTTTACCACCACTGTGATATTTATTATACTATCAGGGAAAATTTGGTGATCTTTCCTTTATTGACACTGATTATACTTGAAAATAGTTCCACTGTACCCTCATCACATTTTGCCATAATCATATTATTGGTGTCTCATTTTTCCTACTCACAGTGGGAATGGCAAGCTAATCACATATTGGGATGAAGACATACACATACACTACACTTCAAACAGATACTGCCCCCCCCCCCACTATGGGAAAAGTGTTGAAATGCTCCTGGGCAGGATCTATTAACAGCTCCTATTAATGCTGCTGTCATGTGTATTTATCCAAAGATGACAGAAAGTCTGGTTGCCACTGAAACTGCTGTTGCCTCTATTTTGTGTTAAAAAGGGGCTCCTACAAGGTCTTCTCGCTCATTTTCTTAAAAAGGAAAAAACACTAATGTTCATCTCCAACACATTTTTTCACTTAAATCCAATTACCCCTCCAAGAACAAGTGTTTCAGAAAACTCATCCTGAAAAAATATGGTCAGAATGAAATGTGCTAATCTTTAGTTCTCATCTTTCAAAGTTCACTGCTGCGGTAAAAATTCTTCTAAACCCCAATGATAAGGGCTCACCCACCAATACATGTCATACTTCATCACTGCAGCATCTCTTTCCATTTCTCTAGTCATTTCCCCACATGATCCTTTTCTGTAGCTAGATATCTACTGTTTTATGTTTTTCCTCAGAATCCCCTCAACCTGCCCTTTATCCTATCCATGAAAATTCTAGCCATCTACCAACCATAAACTCATTTCCTCTGTGATGTCTGTCCTGCTAAGCTCAGTTCACAATGACTCTGAAAGCTCTTCCCAGACTCTTATGTAACCAATGATTGCATTCATAGGACATCTGCGATGACCCCCATCTGATTGTAGGCAACATCAGCCACCACCAGCTGATCCAGGGAAGACTGGGGCACAAGTTGATGGTTCCTGCATTTTCCTGTTTGGCTGTCCAGGAATCTCACTGGACAAAGGTATTGTCCCTTATGCAGGACCTCATTCAGCTTCCAGCTTCTTGTCTTCTTTAATAACTTCAAGAAAAATGAGCTCAGAAATTTCTTAGGTTGTTCTATTTTCTGAAGTTACAGTTATTAACTAGTGACTTTCCGCCATCTCATTATAAGAAATTTCACGATCACAGTAAAGTGAATTTTACAACCAACATTCATGTACCTACACAGATTCTACTATTAACATTTTACTCTAATTTCTTTGTCATGTATATTGGTTGATCTTTCATTGTCATTTGCAGTGCTTTAACTTAGTATTTCATTCCGTATACCTATTGAGGTGTAAAACCAGTAAGGAGCCACGAAGTGACTAACACATACATGCACAGCAGAAGAGGTGAGAATAATGGAAATAGATCCTTGAAAAAGTTCTAATAAATTATTAATAGTACAAAAATTCCTTGACATTTAGGTAGAATTTAAGCCAATAATGTGCTAATGTGATTTGGGACAGTTTTAGAATATTAATGTGCAATTAATATATAAAAAAGAATTTCCTAAATGTAATTTATTCATAGTGTGAATAAAGTCTATATTCTATACAGTCAACACAACATTTCTAGAATGTACTTTTTTTTTTTTTTTTGGTACCGGGGATCAAACTTGGGTCCTTGCGCTTGCGCGGCAGGCGGCGAAACCACTGAGCTAAATCCCCGGCCCTAGAATGTACGTTTTTAAAACACTACATTGGCCCTTGTATTTTTATTGGTTTTATCTTTTTAAATGCCTCTTTATGTGTTTAGATATGCAATTATGAATATACTTGTATAGTCCTTTTCTCGTCTAGTTTATAGATTATCTGTGGGAAATATTCAACCCCTGACTGGCTGTCCCAGCCATCCTGTGTGTATTCAGGGCAGGCATGGCAATACCATTCTCAGCAAAAATGAACTGGGGAAGCAGAAGGTGTAGACAAAAATGCCCTACTTAGGACTTTCCAATCTAGATCCAAACCAGATGTATTTGGTATCCTTCCTTTTGCTGTATAGTTTTACTAGGAGTTAATTGTAATCTAAATATCTGAATATGGTCTATTGAATAACACAGGATTGAATGTTCTTACCTGTTCAGACAATTCCCAATCATAAGGAACAGGAATGGGATCCTCGAAAACCAGATAAATATGCTGGAATATTTCGCTTTCGTTTCTGGCATTTTGGAGAATGGATCGAAGTGGTGATTGATGACTTGCTGCCCACCATCAATGGAGATCTGGTCTTCTCCTTCTCCACTTCCATGAATGAGTTTTGGAATGCTCTACTGGAAAAAGCTTATGCAAAGTAAGGGGGGATTGACTAGTCTGTGGTCAGGGTACATAAGGAAAGGAAAACCACATTTGTCTTTGGGAGCTCATTCTCTCCCAACCCACGTGCAGATGCAAAATTGGGTTGGATCCCAGCCAGATGTAAAGCATTGCTTTGAGCCTGGGCCTGGCCCTCCAAAATCCTATACCAGAGAGAAGTCAGTCATTTTCGTTTTTCGTAGGTCTCGTGGGTTTCTAATCTGCAGATCATTGGTAATTAACACCTCCTTTTTTCCTTGTCTAATATTTGCTTATGGAAATAAGTTTCTGCATGGACTATCCTTGACCAACATAGCTTAAGCTTAGAAATCTCTGACTGTAATCTTAAAATATCTCTCATTTCATATCTAGAGAAAGAATAGCTGGTAAAGCCTGGGCAAGGACTGTTTTAATTTTGGGGAACATGATGTCTTTGACCTGGAAAAATAATTTTACAAAGATAACATTACATATTTCTCCCCAGGCTGCTAGGCTGTTATGAGGCCCTAGATGGTTTGACCATCACTGATATCATTGTGGACTTCACGGGCACATTGGCTGAAATTGTTGACATGCAGAAGGGAAGATACACTGAACTTGTTGAGGAGAAGTACAAGCTGTTCAGAGAACTGTACAAAACATTCACCAAAGGAGGTCTGATCTGCTGCTCCATTGAGGTTTGTATTCACCAAAAAAACCACTCTATGCTTGCTTCTGGCAGAAGAAACTGCAAAATTTGGTAAGGAACTCTGCCCTTAACATGGAGATACATGAAAAGCCATTGATGGAATTCTGGAAGTTAACATAGGCATTGCACCCTGGCGAGGGGACTGAGGAGCTTTAATTTTTTATCCTGTTGAACCAGTCATTTCTCTGGAAGCCAGTGCAGCAACCAAGCTGGTGTAAATAACCTCTAGTAAATTATTCCCCTTTTCAGAGCTCCTGGATGTTGAAGTTATATAGTAGTTGGTTGTTCAAGGAATGAATTTTCTCCACCAAATTTTATTACAGTTCATATCAATGTAGTGTAGTCGGTAGTTTGAGTCTGAGTTGCTTTAGTGAGTTGTTATATTGTATTTTTTATTCCTTCTCCTGCACTTGTCTTTGTGATGGGTTGGTTTTCAGGGTCAAATTTCCATCTCTGTGGGAAAACTAGCTTTAACCATGATGGGATAAACCAATCAAGGAAGAAGGGTAGTCGGGATTTTGGTCTCCTAATTCTTATACCCTTATGTGTCTTTCTTTGTTCTCAGTCTCCCAGTCAGGAAGAACAAGAAGTTGAAACTGATTGGGGCCTACTAAAGGGTAATACCTACACCATGACTGATATTCGCAAGATTCGTCTTAGAGAGAGACTTACAGAAGTCTTCAGTGCGGAGAAGCTGTACATGGTTCGCCTGAGGAACCCTTTGGGAAAACAGGAATGGAGTGGCCCCTGGAGTGAAATGTGAGTGGCATTCCACATTCACTGCTACATCTCCAAAGTTCTGTAGTTCTCCCAAACCCATCCCTCAAGACTGCTAGTGGGCATTCAATGTTCAGTGACATCTGTGAGCTCTTGTCAGGCATGGGGTCTGCAACAAAGTCAGAGGTAAGATAAAGTAGGCCTCATCCTCGTGCATTCCATTCTTTTGACAGCCTGTTTACCATAGGAAGTCAATTGTAAACATAATGGCTTATCTTTTTATTCTTTATTTGCCTTTAGTTCTGAAGAATGGCAGCAGCTAACTTCAGCAGATCACAAGAACCTGGGGCTTGTTATGTGTGATGATGGAGAGTTTTGGTGAGGAGAGGTTTACTGCATTAGGGGAGTTACAGTTCTTAACAGGATATGTAAGTATGAAATAATGTCTTTATTTTTTTCCTGCACTCCTTCCATTCAGGATGAGCCTGGAAGACTTTTGCTGCAACTTTCACAAACTGAATGTCTGCCGTAATGTGAACAACCCTGTTTTGGGCCATAAGGAGCTACATTTGGTTCTGGGATGCTGGACTGTGGATGATGATCCGCTAATGAACCGCTCTGGAGGCTGCTATAACAACCGTGATACTTTCTTGCAGAATCCCCAGGTTTGCATCAAATGACTTTCCTTTTCCCCCAAGTAATACAGCCAATAGAAACCTAGGTCTCTCTTTGATGGTCTCTGGAGTATTTTTAGCATCAAGTCTTCCATTTGTAGATGTATAATATTCATCAATTAGAATCCCTGGGGATTGGCTCAGATTCTTATAAAACACAGCAGACTGTCTCTTTGAAGAGACATACCTTAGCAACATTGTCAAAACTGTGTTACCTTCTCTCCATCCATATTGCTTGGTACAACTCTTTGACAATCTCTGCTTCCTTATGATGTTCCCACACTGGAGAGAGAGAGGATCTGCTTCCAGATGCTATCTCAATGCTTTCTCATTTGTCTTTACTGCCCAATTGTTTTCTTGTATACATATTTACTATATTCATCCTCTTTCTCATGCAGATGACTGGCCTGAACCCCATCACTCTGCCTCCTTTTTCTCATCTAGAATCAGGTCACTTTTCTCAGGATTTGAATCAGTGCCCTGTCAATGACTCCATCCCATCCACCTGCCATTCCAATCCTATTCCAGGTGACACATCAGCGGTCAAGCCTAGGCATACCGTGAAATTAAAAAATCCAAATATTCAAAGCCAGAATTTATAATAACCTGGATAGTTTTATCCACAAATGTGCTAATAAGCAAACAAGCCCTATGGAGATAAGAATTCTGACTATATTGCTGCCTCACTGCCCATGGGTGGTCTCTTTGCATGGATTTCATTGGCTAGGCATTTTGGAGAACACTATGGTTGGTGTGCTGATTTACCTAACTCATACTTTTCTTGCACCCCTTTCAACTTAATTATCCCTAAAGAAAAGAAAGCTCTGTTACCCTTGTCCACTTAACCCCCATCTGCAGCCATAGAAATGTTTCAAGTATCAGGCACATGTGCCCAACTGGGGAATGGCTTCTGTATCCATATGCATAAGATTGACTTTGGAGGCTTTGCTTCTGCATTTGTTTTCTGTTTCTTTTTAATTAAAGGGATGGAGGGACACAGAGATACATAGAAAAATCTAATTCCTTTTACTTTTCTCTCCCAATAGCACCATGATTCCCCAAATAATGTTTAAAAAGCTCTGGTACAGGCCTTTAATTTCCCTAAAGTGAGATGGCAATGCATCAATTCCACGAGGAAATGTATCCACAAGCCACATGTCTGGCCTGGCACTATGAGGCTATCCCAGGGCAAAGCTGCAGGATCAAGTTGAATGAAATAAAGATGCTTTCTGTCTTTATGAATTCTAAAGTTTTTTGTATACATATATTTAAAACAAGATAATAATAATAATCCAATAACTTATCAGGAACTTATTAAAATAAAACATACCCTCTTTGGCATCAAAGGCCCAAGAATGAAGTTATCTCTCACCACATGCTGAATGTGCTGTGTGATGGGAGAAGCAAGTGTAATGTTGTAGACTTAGCAAGAGAATGATTTATCCAAGGCTACCTTGTCTGGTCAATAGCAAAGCCCAGAAAACAAAACCAGGCTCTACTTCACAATGTAGCATTTTCTTCCCTGAAAGTTAAGCTGGATTACCTGAAATAGGAGTGCTAACTCAGTTCTTTGTTGGCCCCTTTCCCTTAGTACATCTTCACTGTGCCTGAGGATGGGCACAAGGTTATCATGTCACTGCAACAGAAGGACCTGCGCACTTATCGCAGAATGGGAAGACCTGACAATTACATCATTGGCTTTGAGCTTTTCAAGGTAAGAATGAGTATTTGGAGCAAGGAGAATGAAGGCAAATAGAGTCAAAATTAGTCAAAATTTAGAGTAAATGGAATCATGCAAAACTCAGAAATAAGGAAGGCAGAAGGAGGACCTTTCAGCACAAAAACTATGATTTGAGCAAAATGGAATATTCCATCCTCTTACATTTCTAGGTGGAGATGAATCGCAAATTCCGCCTCCACCATCTCTACATCCAGGAGCGTGCTGGAACTTCCACATATATTGATACCCGCACTGTGTTTCTGAGCAAGTACTTGAAGAAGGGCAACTATGTTCTGGTCCCTACCATGTTCCAACATGGCCGCACCAGCGAGTTTCTCCTGAGAATCTTCTCAGAAGTGCCTATTCAGCTCAGGTTCAGTATCCTTGGGAAGCCCTTCAAACTCCTGTTCTCTGCTTTAGCCTCCTAAACCTTTGACTCATCTCTCTATAAATACTCTTAATGGGACAAACTGTTCCAGTCAGACCTGATTAATTGAAATGATGGCGGTTGGAATACACAGTATTTCTCAAAGTGGGGTTATAGGAAATCCCTAGTGAAGGTCTGAGTTTCAGAGTTCTCAGCTGTCATTTAAGGGGAACAGGACTATAGTCTAAGCTCTTCACTTACATTTTGTCTTCTATCCTCTGACTGACTTTGTCTTTTTTTGTTGTTGTTTGTTTGTTTTTTTGTTGGTACCGGAGATCGAACTCGGGTCCTTGCGCTTGCACAGCAGGCAGCCAAAACCACTGAGCTAAATCCCTGGCCCTACTCTGTCTTTTTTTTAAACAGCTGGTACCCCTCAGTGCTTTTTTATTATGTTCTCAGTGCTGGGTCACCAAAGCTACCATTTTACCTGAGCCCCGCCTACTGTCATTATCTGCTGGTCCTTAAAGAAAAGGTGAAATGAAACCACACTTATAAAATATAAGCCGTTTATGAGAAGGAATAGGCTAGGTCACCCAAAGTCTCATACTTTTCAGCAATGATGTCTGCTTTGGCAAAGCCATCTCATCAAAGGATGTTCATCAAGTGACACATGGTTTTTGCTGTTCTAGGGAACTGACTTTGGATATGCCCAAGATGTCCTGCTGGAACCTGGCTCGAGGGTACCCAAAGGTAGTTACCCAGATCACGATCCACAGTGCTGAGGGCCTGGAAAAGAAAAATGCCAATGAAAGTAAGAAATGCAGGGCTTTCTGTGAAAGCAACTTTCAGTTTCATATATTGCACGTATGGATAGAAAAGATGATAAGAAATTAATTTTTCCAATGATATTTTTAGTCTAGAGAAGTCAAAATAGGTGTCAACCATGGAAGAAAATGGGATGCAATCTTCTTTGGGCAAGGTCTATGCAATACTTATTTTTATATTCTTACATGAAATATAGAGAAGGAAAGGTAAGAATAAACAAAAATGTTAAGTTCTAGGTCATTCTGGTGTTTGGTGTTATGTTAAAAGTCTCAAGTTTGACTTCAGGAGATAGTTTCTTGCCTACCAAGAAAAGGAACATTAACCACTGTGTTTAAAAATTGTCACTTTGTTCCAGCTGTAAACCCATATTTGGTCATCAAGTGTGGAAAGGAGGAAGTTCGTTCACCTGTCCAGAAGAATACTGTACATGCCATTTTTGATACCCAGGCCATTTTCTACAGAAGGACCACTGACATTCCTATTATAGTCCAGGTAAGAACATGAACATCGGGCTGGGGATTTAGCTCAGTGGTTCTGGTGCCTGCCTCGTGAGCGAAAGGTTTGGAGTTCGATCCCCGGTACAGAAAAGAAAAGAAAAAAAAAAAGAACATGAACATCAACTCCTATGAGGGCTCATACACTGTACCAGATACTAGATTATCTCAAGTACCTCACACATGTTTAAGATGCAGAACAAGGGTTATTCTGGTTTTTGTTTGTTTTGTACTCAGAAACACTTCTCACCAAGCACAGACACTGACTTGCTTATTCATTTTCAGCCTAAATCCCTTGCATTTAATTTATGATAGGTAGAAGTCCATAAGCTTACGGGTACATTTGTTAATACGTGTAGTGTAAAATTCCATGAGAGGGAAGAATACAACATTTCAGAAGATGTTTACATTGCTAGGTCAGGATGGACCACTGTAGTCTTCTCATTAGATTGTAGATGTCTCTGGGAGAGGGTCTGTCTCAGAGAAGGCTGCTCTTCTTCACTCCCTTGATTTGTCTCTACAGGTCTGGAACAGGCAAAAATTCTGTGATCACTTCTTGGGGCAGGTTACTCTGGATGCTAACCCCAGTGATTGCCATGAGCTGAAGTCTCTCTACCTGCGTAAAAAGGGTGGTCCAACTGCCAAAGTCAAGCAAGGCCACATCAGCTTCAAGGTTATTTCCAGTGATGATCTCACTGAGCTCTAAACGTCCAATTACAGAGAATCCTGACAGATAGAGTTTTCCATCCTTTTATTTTTAGGTCAGGTGCCAGGTCTTAACTAAGATTTATAATTATTGAAGGAAGGAAATTCACAATAATTTGCTTTTCTCTAATAACTTCTCATACCTCCTGATCCAAATAGCAGCAATAGCTACATAACCTATGTACCTCCAGCAAATGGGCATGGAGAGATGACAGTCAAATCTGGAGATCATACACATGTTTGCCAAGAAAAGATCTTTGGGCATTCCGGGAGTGAGATTCAGGCAGGACAATAATGAGAGCCTGGACACCTTACAGATGTCTTTGCTGTTTTCAGTTGTCCAATACATCTTTCCTATAGGACATGTTGAGGGAGGAGGGATGATCAAGGCCAAGCTGGTCTAGCCTGGCATCCCAGCTCCTGACTGACACTACAGACTTTCCAGCAGCATTTCACCTAGCAGCCAAAGCCAACTTCAAGGTTCCCACCCTTACCCCAACCATCACCATCACCACCACCACCACCTCTGGAAAGTGTAATCCTGCCCTCATCCAAGTCACCCCCCCCCACAGTAAGTTTTACCTTCATGTTGAGCAAGCTTCCTAGGTGCTTAATCAAGAGCTGGAGTTCAATGAGGCTAGACAGTGAGAAGGGACTGATATTGAGCTCAACAGAAGCCAGCTGTATGTCATAAGAGGGAAAAGTGCAAGAAACTGCAGTGGGAGACAAAGTCTTGGTCCCCCACCATCCACACACACCTACACTCACACATGTGAATGTGGGAGCGCATGAACTACCGTTAAGGCTGTCAGTGGGCAAAAGTGAGGACAAGTTAAGTATCACACACTCCGAAAAGATGAGAGGATCCACCCATGAAGAGTACAGCCAGTTTGGGGCCCCTGACTGCAATGTGAAACCTCTTGCTGCTGCTAGGTTTACAAATAAGCCCCCTGTGCTGTGCCTTCGAATACAGGTACTGAAGGCCCCATGTGGGAGCTTGAGACTTTAGGTCCCAGCCCAGCCTCTTCAGGCTTTTCCCTCAGTTGGGAAGCGTCACGCCTTATGGGAAATTTTCTCTAGTCAGTCATTATAGAATGTTCTTCCCTCTATCTTCATCTATCAATATTCTACCCTTCCTTTAAGGCTCAGCATAAATGCCACCTCCTCCATGAAACCCTCACTACTCCTATCCCCATACCCTAACATCAACAATATTTCAATGCTTCTGCAATGATGAAAAAGAAATGTAGTCATAGTACTTAGTCTAGTCTGGCACGCACTCATTTTAAAAATATGTTTTGTAGTTTTTTGTTTTTCACTTCACTCATTTTCTACCACATTTTCTGATCTGTGTAACTTCCACAGTGCCTTCACCAAACTGCCTTAACATAAAGCAAATCACAATAAAGTTCATATTCAATAAATTGACCAGTCTAGACTTCAATTGATGCCACAAGAGAGATGACCAAAATGACCATCTGTTGAGACATATTTTGGAGTTATGGTAAGTGCAGGATTGGGGGAGAAACTTTGTAAAACTTGAGAGCAGGTAAAAGTCTGATAAATTCAGAGAAATTGGCTGTACTTTGATGGTGTAGTTTTTCATCTCTGTGGTGGGATGGCTGGGAGAATTGAGAGGGTTTATCTTTCATTAGACATCCAGGAGCAGTTGAGTGATATATGAGGTTATTTTACTTTGAAACCCCTCTGGAATGGACTCTAGGTCAAAGCTAATGGTGGCCAGACCTTTCAAGGGAAGACTTCTCAACAAGAGAAAACACCAACTGCTCTCTCCCAACATTTCCTTCAGTAACTTGTTTACACCCTATCTGCCATCTGCCCACCCTAGGGTAGGCTATGGAGGAACCAACTCTCATTCCCCCTTGAGCCTTGCTTCTTGACATGAAAGAATGCCTAGGCAAAGGAGGGAGCTCCAAGGGAGTAGCTCAGCAAAACATTTCTCAAACACAGCGCTCTCCCCCGCCGCCCCGCACCACTAGCCTAATGTGTAGTAGGAATTTACATATTGTGTGTTTTTGTTAGAAATGAAGTAGCCCATACAAATATTGTAATCATTTTATATTGTCACCAGATGGCACTATGATATCACAATTAAACGCAAAGACACTGCTACTTTTTTTTTTAAAGGGTGAGAATCTTTCTACAAATTACAAAAGGATAGGAAAGGAACTAACACTCTTTGATTATCTGCTGCATGTCTGACTCCATGTTCAGTGCTTTATACACATGGTCTCATTTGAATGTCCAAAATTGCTGTCATTATTCCTAGTTTTCAAAGATAATTAAGTTAAGGAAGAGAGAGTTAAAATAACTTGCTCAGTTGCTCAGCCAGTGAGTGACAGATTCAGGATAATGTCTTTTGACTCTTGAATCTGGGCCTTTTCCATGAAAAAAATGCTGCGCCCCAGAAAGCAGTGAGGTCTCATCTACATCTGTATTATCAGCTGTGTATCCACAGTTCTGTACAACAACTGTGCAAAGTGAGAAAGGTCTGGCCACCACAGCTTTGACCTAGAGTCCATTCCAGAAGGGTTTCAAACACCACATGTTTTATCTCAGAATCTTTACCTCTAACTTATGCTTCATGTATGTATATAATGTATGAATAGAATTGGCTTTCTGAAAAGGAATCCAATGCATTTATACATACCACATATGTATTTGATACAATGTAAATGAATCTCAAAATAATTATGCTGAGTGAAAGAAGCCAGACAAAAAGGAATACATAGTACTTAATATAAAATCCACAAAATGCAAACCATTCTATAGTGACAGAGTACTATATATTGGTTTATTTGGAGGAAAGAGAGGGAAGAAAGAAAATAAAAGGGTCTGAGGAGTATACTGATGATTGTGTTCATTGTTTAGAACTGCTCAGTTCTTGATTGTTGTGTTGGTTACACGACTACATGCATTTTTTATATTAAACTGAGTTTTACTGTAAATAAATATTTAAAAAACGAAGCCTCATAAACACTTCATACTCTCCTACTGATCTTTTGAAGTTTACATAGGTATATCTAAATATATTAAGAACTCCACTAGACAGTGCTTAGGATATTTGTTTCTAATAGTCACATATATTTTAAGAGGAGGAAGATAATCATTTTTTTAGTCAGATATTCATTATTTCTATTTCTCTATCTTCATTCCCAAAGTTCCAAAATTCTCTCTGGTGTCATTTATGCTCAGCCTGAGAATTTTGCTTTAGTGTTTCTTTTAGAGCTGTTGATGAATTTCCTAGTTTTTCATCATCTAAGAATGTCTTCATTCCTAAAGAATATTTTCATTGGTTATAGAATTCTGGCTAAGTAGTTATTTTCTTTCAGCAATTTAAAGACATTGTTACATTATCTTTTGGCCTCCATGGTTTCTGATGAGAAATCTACAGTATTTCAAATTATTGGCACCATATATATTATGTGCCATTTTTCTCTAGGTGCTTTCAAGATGTTTATCTTATTTATTCATTCATTCATTCATCCATTCATTTTTTACTTTTGAGACAACGTCTCACTATGTTACGAGGCTGGCCTCTAACTTGCAATCCTCCAGCCTCAACCTCCCAAATAGCCAGGGTTGTAGGCATGCATCACCATACCCATCTCAAGATTCTTTTGTTTTTGTTTCTGATGTTCAGCAGTTTTATTATCTGCCTGGGAGTGACTTTCTTTAAATTTATCAAGTTTGAGGTTCACTGTGTTTTTCAATTTGTAAATTAATATTTTTGATAAAATTAGAGAATTTTGTGCAATCATGTATTCAAAAGTTAGTTTCTGCACCAATTCCTTTTTTATCCATTTGGGACTTTAACGACATGAAGGTTAGACCTTTTGATGCTGTCCCAGAGATCTTTGAGGCTCCGTACAATTAAAAAATTTTTTATTTGGCATAATTTGTAATTTTTAAATTTTACATCTGGTGAATTATTTGATAGAAATAAGCATAGGGCTGTATTGGATCCTAAGAAAGTACACCTAGTCCTAAAGATTTAGTCCTAAAGATTCTAGAGAAAGTTTTACTTAATGTGAATCCTGGTGGATAAATACATTTAGCCAAATGAATAAGGGAAAGACCAACAGTTAGTTACAGGCCATGAGAATAAGGTATGCAAGTGTGTGGACTTACAGTAAAGTATGGAATGTTTGCAGAAAAACTATAATGGTTGGAACATGTGATGCAAATGCAGGAGAGACAAAATAATTCTTGAGAAGTAAATGGAACAAATCATGATATATCTTGATAAGGATTTTTTAAAAATTAATTTATCCTGAAGACAGTTGGGAAACAGAATTTTTTTTAAGTATGAATAGTCCCTTTTTCTTATTTTTGCTTTTATGAATTTTCTTCTGTTTCTGTAATGGGTATCACTTTTTATCATAATAGCTTTATTGAAATATAATTTATATAATTATATAATATATCAATTTATAGTGCAAAATTCAATGGAGTCTAATACGTTATACAGTTGTGCAATGAACACCACAATCAATTTTAGAACAATTGGATCACTTCCAAAAAAAAAAATCCTGTATCTTTTAGCAGTTACCTTCCACTTCTTCCCAATTTTCCTTTCCCTACCCCAGGAAAAATCCTAATCTACTTTGTTCTTTATGGATTTGCCTATTCTGGACATTTCCTATAAATGCAACCATATAATATATGGTCTTTTGTGTCGGGATTCTTTCACTTAGAAGTGTTTTCAAGGTTCTCCATATAGTAGCATGAATCTGTACTTCATTTGGATAATACTCCATTGTTTGGATATACCACATTTTATTCATTCACTCACCAGTTGATGGAAATTTGGGTTGTCTCCAATTTTCAATTTAAAATAATGTTGCTGTAAATATTGTGTACTAGTTTTTGTGTAAACATGTATTTTCAATTCCCATGGGTATATAACTAGGAGTGGAATTTCTGGGTCATGTAGTAACTCCACGTTTAACTATTTGACTAACGAGAAGAGTGTTTTCCAAAGTAGTTAAACAATTTTTGGATTCCCATCTGCAGTGTATGAGGGTTCAAACTTGTCTAAAAACTTGTCCATACTTTTTAGCATATGTCTTTTCGATTCTTCCATCCTAGTGAGTGTGAAATGATATCACATTAGTTTCTGTTTTTAAAATAAAATTTGCATATATTTTATGTATGTTGTACAACACAATGCTTTGATGTACATATACATGGTGAAATGATTACTAAAATCAAGCAAATTATATACAACTACTTTTATAGTTATCTTTTTTTAGTGTGAACACGTGAAATCTCTCATATACAGTATACATAACTATAGTCATTATTTTATACATTTGATAATTACACTTATTCATTATGCTAAGTGAAGTAAGATGAATACTGTATAGTCTCACTTATATGTGAAACTAAAAAATGTCAAATATCTAGAAACAGAGTAGACTGGTGGTTACAAAGCTGGGAAGGTTGGAAAATGGGGAGACATTGCTTAATGTCGGTCATCTTTTTTAAGTACCTGTTGGTCATTTATACATCTTCTTTGAAAAAAGTTCTTTTTTAGATCCTTGCCAACTTTTATTTGGGTTATTTGTCTTTTGGGGTTGTTGGTGTTATATAATATACTCTGTATATAAGCCATCTAACAGATATGTGATTTTCAAAGCATTTTCTCCAATTCTGTTGGTTACCTTTTGTATTTCTTGATGGTGTTCTGTGAAGCACAAATGTTTTTAATTTTGTGATGTCAAATTTATCTATTTTTTCTTTGTTACTTGTGGTTTTGGTGTCATATCTAAGAAATCATTTCTTGATCCACAATCACAAAGATTTATGCTTATGTGTTCTTCTAAGTCTTTTGAAATTTTACCTCTTATGTTGAGGGGTTTGATCCATTTTGAGTTATTGTTGTGTATGGTGCAAGCAAAAGTTCAGATTCATCTATTTGCATAAGGTTATCCAATTGTGCCAGCACCATTTGTTGAAAAGATCATTCTTTCCTCACAGAGTGGACTTGGAAGGCTTGTTGAAAGCCAATGCACATCAAATCTGGGATTATTTCTGGACTCTCAATTCTATTCATTAGACCGATCTGTAGGTCTATCCTTATGCTAATGCCATGCTGTTTTCATTACTGTAGCTTTGTGGTAAGTTTTGAAATTGGGAAGTGTGAGACCCCAACTTTGTTCTTTTCTTTCAAGATTGATTTGGTTATTCTGGGTCTGTTGCATTTCCTTGTGAATTTTAGAATCAGTTTGTCAGTTTCCGCAACAAGCCATCTAGGCCCTTGTTAGGAATTGCATGATTCTGTATATGAGTTTGGAGAATATTGTCATCTTAGCAATATTAAATAATATTGAATTTAAAACAACATTAAAATGAATATGAGATTTCTATTATTTTTATGATAAAAGCAAAACAAACATTATTTATAAAATGATGATGGTACATTAGCCCCTTTTTAGCTCCACCTCTTAACTAATGTTCCATTTCCTTCTTTGTTGTTTTTAGGTGATCCTTAAGAAACAGAAACAAAGACTTTGTTATAAGAACAAAAAAGGGGCAGCTCTGATTATTCTTTGTTTTGTAGGCTCACTCTATGTACAGTCTGAGAGTGGGTAGGGAAAGGGAAATATTTATCAAGAGCATAGTGTTTGCCAAACCCTATGCCTTGTAT